CAAGTTCATTGGAAGCCAAGGCTCCACCTTCTCGAGCACGGCTCAATCGACATTACCACTGTACATCGATGAGAAATGAGATGAAACTGTCCTTCTGCGATCGCGATATCCGATCAGAATCATCGACAACGATGTCTCAATTGGCAGGGGAACTGATAATACCGACTTTTCATCTCAGCCTGCAATCTATTAAAATTTCTTTGGACAGTGACAGGTAACGTTTTCGCGTTGCTCCGGATTAAAATGCAAATCGATGATCGTAAAAACACTTGCGGCGTCGCGACACGCTCTCGATTACCTCGTCTGAATTCGAATGAATTGTTAGGGCATGATTACAATCAAAGCAGCATAGAACATACGATGGAGATCAGTTATGTTCAATGAAAATCGAGTATCATACGTCAGATTTTATTATTCTCTTTTAAATATTCTGCGTCGCCGGAATGTCTACTGACAGGAGTTATTCTAACTAAGAGAAATAGTCGCAGGTGTATAAAAGAACGGTGCGGACCTTTTTCCCTCGACCTGGAAACCTGCTGTGCACAGGTCGGGAGGTCCACGCGCCAAAATTTCTGTCTTTGGTTAGAGCCTTGTACCGCCACCGCAACTCTGGTAATTACGTGTCCTGACAGAGATACCGATCTACCGCCACGAGAAAGGAAAAATGTTTGAAGAAAAGATCATTACGACCGGCATGCTCCAATTTTCAGGTAAAAGCAGCTGCTGAAGTAATCAATTTTATTCTGGTTTTGAAGAAAATGCGCTTAGATACAACCGACCCTCATATCTTCAGGGTTGACAGCTAAGTTTCAATAGTTTTTTCTATAGCATATGGCTAGATTAAAAGAAGAGGAATGAACATGAGAATTTTGCGACGAGAGAACACATGCGTCCACGGCTGACCACTTTTATTGCACATAAACGTATGTTGCACGATATTTCGAGCGAACACGAGAGGAAACACGAAACGTATCATCAGTTGTAGTGTGACGATCGCATCGCCGTCGACAGGTTGGAAATTTGTGATTCCCAATGGGAATCGCACGACAGCGGGCGTTCGCGGCCCGTTACCAAAGTCATTTTGCAACAAGAAGCAAAATCCTGGAGTGTAATTGTATTGTACGATTCTCGGCTATAGAATGCTGTTAAATATTTCCGTGTCCGCGATGTATCTACATACGTACGTACGTATGTAACCCAGAATCAAATGCCTAGTAATTTATCGAGTATTCCGAAGTAAACTTTGTCCCCGGAGGACACGCAACGTAGCGATGCCACCCTGACCAACGATACTTTTCACCACTCCTCGCAATTACAAGTCCAGCAAGGAGAACCGTGTTGCACCCGGTCAGTCATTTTTTTTTTTACTCACAACTCAAAGTATAAAAGAATAAAGTACTCGCAACGTATTATCTGACGAGCAGAACTGCAATTGCGACAGGAAGTCACACGTGACGGGGGCTTCTTTTTTCCTTGCTCCACACGACCCCAAACGGTGCAGGATAGATTATTACGTGGGAGTGTAAAGCTGGCGACACGTGGGTTTGCGAAACTTTTCTGGAAGCGTGCAATTCGTGTCGATCGTATCACCATTAATTTCCCCTTTATCCTTGATACAGTGGCCAGGTGGGTGATAGGTATCCTCGAACTTCCCCGTGATTTCATTCGACAGCTCGTTTCGGTCAGGCACCTTATCTATCGGGCAAATTGTTTGATAGTCTTTTATCGTGATCCCTCGATAGCTTGCAGGGATTCTCCCTTCGGGACAGATCAATTAACGCGAGGTTTCTTCGGCTCTGCGCGACCGCCGACCGACACCGTGACTTTGTTTCGGGAATAACCGACGTTTAACATCCCCTGGGGTAACATTAGGGTGGCGCGGGAGCTCGAGTGCTTGCGAGTCATCCCTTAATCACGACCGGAGTCGGTATCGTCGCCGAAAATCGGGCTCCATCGCCGCAAATAGAGTGCCTATAAATAACGAGGCCACCCCGAGTGTTGTGATTATATTACCCGCGCCGACGGATCGAACGGAAAGAGAGACGAGGCGGGGGAAGCGAGAGAATGCACGAAGAACGACTACGACACCAATGATGCCGCGAGGCTTTCTGGCAGAGCGACGGGAGCGGGACTTCATGGGAAGGGAGGATCCCGGGGGAGTCTGTGGTAGATTAAATCTCCTCTGGTTAGCGTTTGATTAAACTTGGGAGTGAGAGCGATGTTAATGCTCGGCCCGTGCCCGATTGCTCGCCAACGGAATTGACAGCGCCGGAACGGAACGACACGCGTCGTAAAACAGCTTCGTCCCTCTGATTTTCCTTTTTAACGAGGACCGCTTTTACAAAAAGTCGAACAATCGAATTGCGTGTCCGCTATATTCTGACAATGCACGTTCGACGATGACAGTGCTCGCGGTCGGTTGTCAGAAGACGAGTATACACGCAGAGACGTAACAGAGTTCTCCAATAAGAATGTTGTACATCTCGGTACACGATGTTTCTACCTTATCATTGTACCAGTACCTAAGGGCGTGCATTGGCTCATTTATAACGCCTTCGACAGATTTGTTTAATTACTTAATTGCCTGCTTCGGGCCGACCGATGCATTCTACCGAGACCGGCTCGCTGGCAGATGTCGAAACCCTCCCGGCGACGTCTTATCTGACGCACCCTTCGAAATAAATTTCCCAAACGAGCGTTCGACTCGGACACCGAGAAAATATGACCGTATGACAATCTTCATCTGCGGGTTCCATCCCGCGTCGCGTCCTCAGCGTGCAAACGCATCTTTCCCGGTTTTAAAATTGAATCAAACGCGCTACGCATTAACCCTCTCTGTGGAATCGCGTAGCGTCGGTGAAGAGAATAAAAGAAGAGTCGGACGGCGAGGGGAAGAGTCGGAACGAAGGGCCTCACAATTAGCGCATACATCACTGGTCGAGAGGCCGCGAGGGGCTAGGAGAAGATGCCGTACTGAACAACCTGTTATTATATACGCGGCCCGAAATACGCATGTATCACTCACGCACACACGCTTGGAACACGGACCGCTGAACATGTACGGCCCGTCGGTGGATTAATTCGCACGCGGCCCGATCGCGTACGACGATGGGAGGCGCGCCACTTGTATGTACGTACGTACGACGAAACTCGATTTACGACCCCCGAGATCTTCACCTTTCTTATTCGACCAGGTACCTTATCGCTCCGCGACTCCGGTCGATCGTTTACGTCAAGCGACACGTATAATGCATTGTTGAAAACGTTTCACGGAATTTTCTTTTGAAGACTGCGGAATGTTTAATTGATATTCAGATAAACGATCGTGGGACTAGCGCATCAAGAAGACAACGCGATTGGATTGTAAATAATTATACGTACTATTCGTTTTTCGCTACCACGCGTTTAAATCAAGCGACGATAAAAGTTGTCGACCGCGTAGGCTGTGAAAATCGCACGAAAGAGATACCTACAGGAATATACATACACTGAATTGTCTCTAGCGTTCGGATGAGGAAAGACCGTGGGATGACTAACGGTCGAAACGTTGCCCGTTTAATAGCAATAATTTTTTAAGGATCCTGGTAATTGATAGCCTCGAGTAATAAACGCTCGCATGCGCGATAAGTCGGGGAGATACGGCCGGGAATTATTAATGCACCCCTCGCGACATTAATAATCGATGATGCAATTGGAATCGACGACCGATCGTGCCTGCGAACTGACGATACTTCACCTCCAACGCTGATTAAAGAATTTACAAATGTGCGAGTTAGTTATACATATTCTACAAAATATCCTGAATTGTACTATGCTTATTATACCAGTAGATTTTTCAAAGGTAATAGCCTAAAATAGTATAAGTAAACTCTCTAAATGTAGTATCTAAAAATGTAGTAACTCGGACTCTCTGTGCAATAATTGTACTCTCTATTCTTGAATAAAACGTATTCTAAGCGTGATCATTTATTTTTCATTTCTCTGTGGATTGCCTATCGTTACGTTAATGACGTGTGCCAGAAATTAAGTTGGGAAAATGAGAGATGAACGATTTAGGCGAGTCACCCGTAAGAAGCAATTCGATGACAACGAGGATCGTATCGTAAATAATTGATCGGCGGTTCCCGTATTAATAACAGCAACAGCATCCAAGTACCAGGATCGTGTCAAGGACCACCCGCGGCGAGTTACCTCGACAATGCCGGGGACAGACGACACGACACAATCAGGGACTCCCTGTTCCGCTAGCTACCAGGCTTGCTAATAAATTATTAAAGGGACACCCTCTGGAAGTGACGTCGGGAATATTACGGGTGAGAACGAGTGTCCCGATTCTCGCTGCCCTGCCGCTCCCGGTTTATATGTATACGCATACGCGCGTCGACTATCGTCGCAAAAAACCTATCTCATTCCGTGACCAAGCCTCTGTGCGCTCTTCTTTTTCCAACGGCCAACGGAAAAATGTAGCAACTCTGACATTACGGCGGTTCCTTGTCAGTCGGACACAGTGCTACATAAAGCGATCATAATTTTCACGTCTGACGTCCGCAAGATTAATTGCCGTATTAATTCCGGCCGCAGATATTTTTCATTCCACGCTACGCTGCCTGTGACAGGTAATTAAACAGCATTTATTGTAAACTCGTCTGAAAATTGGATATCTGGTTCGCCTATCGAGATTCGTTTAAAAACTTTCTCTGGTGATAAGATTTACGCCTCCCAGTGAGAGGAAGAAGAAGATGCAAAAGAACTATTGTAAGTTTTAAATGTTATCTTGTCAGCCCTTATAAACGATGAAACATCAGAATGCCGATTCTATGTGAATATGAAATTCTATCTAAATGATTTAATGTTTTCTTTTGTTATTCAAATATTATTAGATACGTACAAAGATAGGTACTCCCTGCGATGAACCAAGAGGAGGAAATTAGTGGTAAAAAGAATAAATCAGGTACGATCATCGGGTAGAACATCATAAGTCAGAAGCAGATGTTGCTGAATCGAGTACGTGCTAATTACGTGCTGCACTAATTGTATAATATTTTACCTGGCGGAACATGTTGTTTGCCAGTAAATAGACACATAAAAAATGACTGTGACCTACGCAATCTTGAACGAAGTGTAAAAAGTTATAAAATGAAAAAATTCCTTTAGTTACAGGAGCTCCGGTAGAAAGTTAAAGTATTTACATTTCGACGTTAGAAATTAAGGGTTGCTCGAAATTCGAAACGGTAGATTAAGCCGAGTCTGTTCCTTCCTATTGTCTTACCGATTGCGGTAACATCAGAATGAAATTCCGGCCGGAACTCTTTAGATGGTTCTTCTCGGTTCGACACGATTTCCAGCCTTTCAAAATCCTCGTCGTTCACAGTAACGCGGTAATGGAAATCCGGGCCGGGGTAAAATAATGAGGCACCGTCGTCACGGTTAAAGGTTTCACAAATTCGTTCTAGCCCAGTCGAAACTACGGGAGAAAGACACGTGATCAATTATTTCGTCGTTGCCTTGAGACCGTCGGCTGTTTGATAACTTGACGCGAACCCTATCATTGACATCGTACGGAAATAGAAAGTCAACACTACGCGGTGTGCACGTATAAACTCGACTAAAATGTTGCGAACATTGGTAATTGGATACTTTTTAGCATAGCATCATCATCACGCGCTAGGTAACGCTTAGCTAATTACTCCGTGACTCCAAGGTTATCACCGTTAATTTAGTGATAGCGACACGTGTCGTTATCGAAGCCCCCGGTAGACGCGAAAGTGCGCGCGCAATTTACGCGGCATTAATTCGGCAAAGCTTCATTAGACCTTTGCCTCGGAGGCCCGTACTTAGACGACGCAGGGGGTATAATCATAGTTTAAATTCGGCTCCCATCCATTGAAAATCAGTGGCTCTGACCCGGTTCGCAATCAGGATACCGGTTAGGGGGATCGTGGGTGGGGGCTATCATGGGGCATTTGATCCGCGGCGGGTCATCAATATTGCATGAGGGGACCACGAACGCGCGTACGATCATGCCAAATGCTGGGAATCAAAATAGTCACGGAGTTTATAGTTCGTGAGAGGGACACGTTGCGTACGCCATCCCCCTCGCTCGTTTGTTCGCACCGCGAGTCACGTTGCACTGGCCAGCGCGAAACGTGCAACCTTAACCCTAACATTTTTATACCACTCTGAATCTGAATAAGCAATGATTGTCGACGACAATCGTTTGTTAAAAGTTTCCTTCGTTTGAGAATCCCAAGGAGAAGACAATTAAATAAATACCTTTCAAAGTTCAGGTATTAATAGACAAAATTCACGTAAAGAATGTAAATCAACTGGAAGAAATTGCAAACAATGTGAAATGTTAATGCAACGCTGGTTTTTAATCATTTAAATGTAAACGAACATGTTGACGAACATGGAATTACCATGGAAATTTCACTAATCTAATTAATATACCTGGCAACCTCAGATCCTTGGTTAAACCAGCAACCAATTCTCGAAGGAAAATACAACATTTTGCGGAGAACAAATCGAGAGGGAAAAAGAGGGACGAGCCTCGAGAACACGTTCGACTCGTACTTCGCGTTACGGTATGATACGTCTGTGTGGGCATCGAGTCGGCCACCAAGGTGGAATACTCGCAAAACAGACATGGACGAGACGTAGAACGCTCGGATAAGAAGAGAGAGAGAGGCTGAAAAACGGGTATGCACTGAGCGAGAGAGAATGGAAAATCGTAAGAAAATGAGAAACTCTATTACGATGGTCGGAATGGATTAGAAAAAAGAATCGGACTTCCAATTGTATCACGCAGAATCTACGCTGAAACGCATTCGCATGGTCGACGCCCACACGGAATCAGACGGATCGAGGAGAGAATCGATCCGGTTACCCTCCATCTTCCTCGTCGCTCTTCCCTTCTCCGGAGTTCGGTGCAATGGCGCGAGCTGCGCGATATACGTTCCTTCTTAATGGCAAATAAAGCAGGTGGAGCGGAGCGGAGAACCGTTCGTGATTGCCGGATTAATTGGCTTTAGCGTGGCTGCAGCGGTAACGGAGAATGCATGTACGTACATGGCACGCGGATTATTATCCGTACGGAGAGTTATTCTAAGCGTTTCTTCCGTGGCCCTTCTCTCTCTTTCTCCCTCCTTGTTCCTCGTTTACCCTTTCACATCGTCAGCGAACGATTAACGAACGATGGAAAATCTCATACGGAGGCTTACAAAGCATCGCATACCGGTTCCCATTCAGGAACGATTACGATTTTTAATGGAGTGAGTATTCTAGCTTGGATTCTTCGTAGCAATAACCGAACGGATCTCGAGCATTTGCTGGTTGAATTGTGGGAAGAGCGAGCCGCTCCGTTTGCGAAGAAACGCGCAATTAAACGCCATAATCACGATCAGAGGTGCAAATTGATACTTTGTTGAGCGAACACGAGAACAGGTGAAAGAGTGCATTAAATTTTATACGACGTTTAGCAAACATTGTAATGAACGCATGGTAGGAGTTTCAAGAAAATTTTAAGGTAGGTATTTTTTCCGAAGAGTCTCTAGGAAAGGTACCTCGGAGCCTTCTGTTGTTTCCGCACAGCGGAGGTACAACGACAAGCGAAGGATGAAACGACGTTGAAGTGCTGACGCGGTAACCATCTTCGTTTCCCTGAGTGGCACTGTCGGTAAATGCCGTGGGATTCGAGAGGGTGAACGCGAGAGGAAGAGGAGCCGAGAGAAAAGGGGGTCGAAAGCGGGTGGCACGGTACGGTGGGACAGAGCTCTTGAACGACGTGACCGCAGGAATCGATGCGGACATTCCGGGAAATCGTGTGCCCGGATGCTGACGCAGTGTTTCCGTAATTCGCAAGTCCTCCGCGCTTCCGTTGGATAACCGTTTTATATTGTCGTTCTCTTCGCCGCACCGTTGCTTTCCAATCGCGAGATACGACCCGGAGAAACCGTCCTCTTTCTGGTGCCACATGATTTCATGACCGTTGTGACGAATAAACTCGGATTAACCTCTGATACTTTGCGATACTTTTGCATTCTTAACTTGGATTTGTCAAACGCAATTCGCATATACAGTCAACGTTTCAAGAGAACTCAAGTCGTATGGTCCAGTTGTAAGGCAATTCTGTTTTAAATGGTGTCCAGTTAACGTTGCCCTCGATTGTATTGTACAGATAAATTTATAAATTCACCACATTTGGTTTGTTCGCTTGTGTCCGGTTGAAAGATGGAGAAAGTATCGCAAATTAATCAAAGTCAGCGATTATGTAAATCGGATTTATTAAAACAAACGAAAAAAGCAGCAGGAAAATCGTAGATAAAATAAGTGAAAGTTGTTTTGCCTGTAATTAATGAGAAATAAATCAAAGATGATCGGGAAAATGGAGCAAACGACGCAATGAATGTCTCTCCATTTATGTGTCACGAACGATCGATGCGACGGAAGGAAAATAAAAACGTACTTGAATCCTGAAGTACGTATACGATGTACCAGGTTCCATGCTCGTCCACCCTAGCCTCATGAATTTCATTACGTCGCCACTTTTCGTGCTCGTATTTTATTCCTATGCCGAGCTCTTTGGATCGAATCGCCGGGTAAAACCAGAGTTTTATGTAACTTTTTGGAAATGTGGGTTGCGCTAATGGCGCAATCCCGATTGAGAAATCTCGTGCGTGAATAATATCCAAGTAAACACGGGCATTGATCGAGCAATTTATCATTGCAAATGAGAGCCGTTCGTTCACCTACACTTACCATTTAGTTGCCATTTAAAGAATGGCAATCGAACGGTATCGCAGCACGTTAACAAATAATTGTGTGTTGCCACTGGGGAGAACAGTGAGTTAAACACTTGCTTTGGTATGGGGATACGATCGGTAGCGATCGTTTTGTAACCGTGATCTAAACTCGCACAAGACTAATGACAAGATACTTATGTCGTAATTGCTCCTTGTGAATAATTATTAAACATTAACCCATATACATAATATAATACTAAAAACAAAGTCATGCTATTGTAGATTCAATACCTCTCGTGTTAATTTCCTTCACTTCAATTTTCTTTCTAACTTCAAACTGATAAAACTTTGGAATCTCGATTTTCCGATCTGTATAATTACGTATCTGCAAACGGTCAAGCGTTATGCAGATTTTCTTATTTGCGCCTTTGTTCTGGTATTCTATCCACCACAGAGATAGTACGTGATTCGTAAGATATGCACGTCAGTCAAGAGTCATGCGAACTTCAAACAATATGACAGCTGTTAAGATATACCTGTTACCTACTCGTTCTTCCTTTCCAGTTTCCCGAAGTTCGACGCATTATCGACAAGATTAATGATACGATTTAGCCACGCGTACATTCAATTTCGATTTCCGTGGTCACAATATTTACTCCCCGAACCTTTTACTCGCTCACAATAATTTATCTTAATCATTCGATTCCGTCAGAGACAAATTGATGAGGAAATTAAATTACACGTAGCAAAAATAGTTTCTACATACTACAATACTAATTGCGGCAGAGATAATCCTACATAATTACTACTGTATGGTTGCAAATAAACAACCTATTTAATTGCTAATGTTTTAAACGATAAATGTTAATACGATACTGACTTTTGCTCCCAAAGTTTCATATAGTTCCTCAATAATTCTGAACAACATCTAAGTAACTATCTCGTATTTCCTTCATTTTTTTTTTATTTCTCTACAGGCCGATCTTTTGCGTAATCCGTAAATAAAAAACGATTCTAAGGTCTGTCGTTCACGATAGAATGATTGATAGGTACAGATAAAAGACGAAGATGAAAAAAAGGAAGGAAGGATCGATGGATCGTTACTAATCGACAGACAGAAGTAAGCGGTGGTTCAAGGCCGCGATGTACCACGACAAGAAATCCGTAGATCGCGTGCTGACAATGAGCTTCATTTTTCCCTAATCTATCTATAGGTACGGTAGGCTTTAAGCTAACATAATAGCGTCGTTTTCTGTCGGCTCCACGCAAAGAGTCACGATTCGTCGAGCCGTTGATAGTTCTGTTACGCGGAAGCCTGCCAGCTAAAAGTCTCAAAAGTGATGCGCCGCTCCTTTTTTCTCATTTTTGCGTTCTCTTCGTACCCGACTTCGAATCCGGTAGAACGAGTCTAGCAATTGCAACAGGAACAACGATGCCGATCTTCTTATCAGGACTTTGACGTACTTATCTGTTCTTATCTACGTACGTCACTTCATCAATAGATCAAAAATATATCTCTGCAAGAGGTCAACGTGCTTCTATTTAACCCATCATCGTCGATCCGAGGCAGGATTTAGTCCTACGATCTCGAAACGCACATCGGGCACATTCATCAGGAACAAGTTAATTGAGTGTATTTAGTTGCGAAGAGCAACCGATCATCCGCATTCCCGTTTACTCTAAAAATGTTCGTCATAAACCAGTTTCGAAAGGCGATAAAGCT